CATTTCCACCTTCCAGCATGGACTGAACCCCGCAGAACCCCGGGAAGAGGAAGGACACGACACCRGAGCCTCCCCTGAGTCACCAGAGCCGTTCCCAGCCCCAATTCCTGGASTTTGGAGGGGCAGGATCGCACTCAGCACCGCTGACTCAGCAGCTTTTGGCTGAATTCGGTGACGCAGCCGGAAATCCGCTCGAGACAAACCCACAGAGATCATGGGGTTGGGATGAAATCCTGATCCCAAACCCACAGCAATTCCAATCCCAAACCCTCCAAACACACAGCGATCCCGGAGCAGGGTTGGGTTGAAATCCCAATCCCAAACCCTCTGAACCTGCAGTGATCCCGGTGCGGGGTTGGGGATGAAATCCTGATCCCAAACCCACAGCGATCCCAATCCCAAACCCTCCAAACCCACAGCGATCCCAGTGTGGGGTTGAGGATGAAATCCTGATCCCAAACCCACAGCGATCCCAGCGTGGGGTTGGGGTTGAAATCCCAATCCCAAACACACATCGAGCCTGGTGCGGGGTTGGGGTTGAAATCCTGATCCCAAATCCCCTCTGAACCCACAGTGATCATGGGGTTGGGGTTGAAATCCCAATCCCAAACCCACAGCAATCCCAGTGCAGAGCTGGGGTTGAAATCCTGATCCCAAACCCCCTGAACCCACAGTGATTGCAGGGCTGGGGTTAAAATCCCAATCCCAAATCCTGCAAACACATAGCGATCCTGATGTGGGGTTGGGGTTGAAATCCTGATCCCAAATCCTGCAAACACATAGCGATCCTGATGTGGGGTTGGGGTTGAAATCCTGATCCCAAATCCTCTCCGAACCCATAGTGATCACGGGGTTGGGGTTGAAATCCTGATCCCAAACCCACAGCGATCCCGATGCGGGGTTGGGGTTGAAATCCCGATCCTAAACTCACAGTGATCGTGGGGTTGGGTTTGAAATCCTAATCCCAAACCCTCTGAACCCACAGTGATCATGGGGTTGGGGTTGAAATCCTGATCCTAAACCCACAGTGTGGGGTTAGGGTTGAAATCCCGACCCCAAACCTACAGTGTGGGGTTAGGGTTGAAATCCCGACCCCAAACCTACAGCGTGGGGTTAGGGTTGAAATCCCGACCCCAAACCCCCTGAACCTACAGTGATCGCGGGGCTGGGGTTGAAATCCTGATCCCAAATCCTCCAACCCAACAGTGCAGGGTTGGGGTTGAAATCCTGACCCCAAACCCACAGCGATCCCAGTGCAGGGTTGGGTTTGAAATCCCGATCCTAAACTCACAGTGATCGCAGGGTTGGGTTTGAAATCCCAATTCCAAACCCCCTGAACCCACAGTGATTGCGGGGTTAGGGTTGAAATCCGGACCCCAAACCCACAGTGCGGGGCTGGGGTTGAAATCCTGATCCCAAACCTACAGTGATCGGGGTTAGGGTTGAAATCCTGATCCCAAACCTACAGTGATAGGGGGTTAGGGTTAAAATCCCAACCCCAAACCCTCTCGGTGAGCACGGGACAGTCAGGCCGGGTGACAACGCTACATTTTTATTAAAGTAACAAAAGCATCCCTTGGCCAAGGATCTGTACACACCGGGTATAAAACACAACTGTACATCGGGAACCAGCCACTGCCTCCTCCAATTCCTCACAGAATTCTGACAATTTTCACCAAACACNTCGGTGACGCAGCCGGAAATCCGCTCGAGACAAACCCACAGAGATCACGGGGTTGGGGATGAAATCCTGATCCCAAACCCTCCAAACCCACAGTGATCCCAATCCCAAACCCTCCAAACACACAGCGATCCCAGAGCAGGGTTGGGTTGAAATCCTGACCCCAAACCCTCTGAACCCGCAGCGATCCTGGTGCAGGGTTGGGGATGAAATCCTGATCCCAAACCCACAGCGATCCCAATCCCAAACCCTCCAAATCACAGCGATCACAGAGTGGGGTTGGGGTTGAAATCCCAATCCCAAACCCACATCGATCCTGGTGCGGGGTTGGGGTTGAAATCCCAATCCCAAACCCACAGCAACCCCAGTGCAGAGCTGGGGTTGAAACCCTACGAACCCACAGTGATCACGGGGTTGGGGTTGAAATCCTGATCCCAAACCCACAGCGATCCTGGTGCGGGGTTAGGGTTGAAATCCCGATCCTAAACCCACAGTGTGGGGTTAAGGTTGAAATCCCAACCCCAAAGCTACAGTGTGGGGTTAGGGTTGAAATCCCGACCCCAAACCCCCTGAACCTACAGTGATCGCGGGGCTGGGGTTGAAATCCTGATCCCAAACCCTCCAAACCCACAGTGATCACGGGGTTGGGGTTGAAATCCTGATCCCAAACCCACAGCGATCCCAGTGCGGGGCTGGGGTTGAAATCTCGATCCTAAACTCACAGTGATCGCGGGGTTGGGTTTGAAATCCCAATTCCAAACCCCCTGAACCCACAGTGATTGCGGGGTTAGGGTTGAAATCCCGACCCCAAACCCACAGTGTGGGGCTGGGGTTGAAATCCTGATCCCAAACCTACATGGTGGGGTTAGGGTTGAAATCCTGATCCCAAACCTACAGTGATCGGGGTTAGGGTTAAAATCCCAACCCCAAACCCTCTCGGTGAGCACGGGACAGTCAGGCCGGGTGACAACGCTACATTTTTATTAAAGTAACAAAA